AGGTTATATATTTTGTACAATTTTAATTAACTTTCATTTAACAGCAAGCAACTTGCATCTTTGAAAGTGATGCTATAAAGAGGTAAAAATATATTGCATGTGTCCAGTAAACAAGTAATCCAAAACTGTTTGTATTGCCCATAAATGGAAAAATTTGGGATCCATTCCTCTGTTGTTCAGATTGTTTATTGACATGGGCCCAATGAACATGACTGCAGTACCTATCTAGGTATTTTGTTTGCTTGGTGATTAACTTATTATGATTGTTTTTCTTTAAGATATCCCATCAGGGTGGATATGGAGAAATCAGATTTAAAGAATGAGATTAATACAGTAATAAATTCATCATATATGAATCTCGCAGGGAGAGGCTGTAGTAGGTAAGTTGTATTTTTAGAAAATATTTTATACGTCCATAACTCAGTCTTTTTCATTTTACTCTGAAGTGCACAGCTTTCACTTTTTATATTGAATAAAATGTAATAATTATGTTTTTTTTTTTCACAGCTCAATGTGTGTTGCAACTACAGAGCACAGTATTGAAGATGCTGTTGATAATGTAATTGCTGCAGTTGAAGGATTAACCATGAAAATCTCAAATGGCTGGAATAACATCAAAGCACTTCATCTAAAAGTTGAACACTCAATCGCACTTCCTATTCATGAATCACTTGTATTTGAAGATTGGTGGGCCGAAAACAAAATTTTCAAAGAAGACATTCAGAAAAGTATGTTCTTGCATTCTATATTAAGGCTCTTGCCTTCCAGTAAAATGGTATTAAGTTCAGTCCTTATAATTAATGTCAGAAAATAAAAATTAAAATGAATAAAATAAAGACAGCTCTACTCATGCCTTAAAGCCAGGCTCCGGAGGGAAAAAATTGTTTGATATGTTGTACCCTTAAAAAAGGTGGTCTGCCTCTTCCCCCTCTTCAGTTTTTAAATACAGTTAAACATACAGTCAATTTTGCCTACTCGAATAATTACTTGCCAAACTCAGAAAATGTCTAGTCATATCTTATTTTACATGCCAAATTGTTGTGTTTTCCATTAGTACAACCTCGATTTTACGTATGATACGGGACCGGAGGGTGTACGTAATTCGGGCATTCCAATAATTAAGGTTGGGTTTAATTTGTGGTGACCTTTGACCTAATGCGTACACAACAGTCAATAAACATTTGTTATAAACGAATCTGCAAGTTAGATTTTATCTAAGTCAAACAATTTTTCAATGGTATTTTGGAATTGACTTAGGCAAGTTTAACTGTATTCTAAAAATCTGTATCTCATAAAGCATTCCAGAGTTATACACTAATCATTCCAAATACAGTATCCCCTTCAGTAATCGTTCTTTGACCGGAGTGTCAGACTGAAAAACTTTTGCCGACAAGGGGTCCGACGGAGGAGCCCGAACCATGGCGAAGACGAAGCCTCGGTCCGGAATTAAAAAAATCCCTGTTAGGGTTCATGGGGAGAGTTTTTATGGCTTAATTTGGTACTAAATGTGCTTTTAGACCACAATATTTGGGATTGGCAATCAAAATAGCATTATTTGGATAGGCAAATTATTACTTTTTAAAATTTTTGGTCCCACGACCTAATCATTCGTCGGACGACGG